CTTTCGACTGGCGGCGCGTGAGGCGACGGAGAGCAGCGAGAGGAGATGCGTCTGACCAGATGGAGTTCCCGCCGACGACTGGCTCCTGTCCGCGGATCGACCTAGAATGCCAGGGATCTATTATATAAAGTACGTGACATTTTCACGCTGCACAGTCATGCTGACATTATATTGGCTTGGGAGGAAGCACGTGTGGCGTATAAGTATGTCTGCGTGTTTGGATGGGATTCATATGCATTTGTATGATGTTTTGTGTAAATGATTCGTATTGTTGAATGTGATTTTCTTTTGTATTTATATATCACATCTATTTTTATGCATAATGAATATTCACGTGCACACACACACACACACACATATACGCACGCGCGCGCGCACACACACACACACGCGCGCGCGCGCGTCTTCAAGGAATAATGAAACCTGAAATTAGGAATACAAGGACTGGTAGTTTAGAGACTACAGATAAATAATAGATGTATTTCTGTGCATTTTTTTGTATCATTCTCAGGTGATAATTAGGATGCTTGCGATCCTCGACCTGTCTTTTACGGAATTTCCGATTTCCTAAACGTATTCGTCCTGTTGTATCTTTCTCCTCTCGCTCATGAGCACAGAATGCCCAGCGGTTTCACTGTTGGGTCTTTTCCTGCCTTTCTTTGTGTGTTTTAGTGGGTACAACCTGTGGGATTTTTGCTGCAAGCCACTGGATTCTAGCCTTTACTGGCTCACAGTGTAGGTTCTTGGGATATGCTAGTCTGTCGTATGAAAGAAGAGGGAGAAGGAAAAGGCATGGGCACTCCTGTCCGCCTTCGGCCGCACTCCCTCTTGGAGACTGGTCGAACAAAGGCGCGGTCCAACTACCTTTCTTTACCCGGGCCATCTCCGTCCGCCCTGCCAAACGTAGTGTTTCACCTGCGGAAGGAGCCTCGGCGCTAGCTCAAGGGTTCACTACGCGGTAGCACAGAGTACAAGGACAGTTTCCCTTATTTCGCCGTAATTTTGTGCATTGCGGCTTATAACTTTGTGAAGAATGAGAAATGAATACCAAAGTGATCATAGGTTAAGGCATGAAAAAAAGGAAAGACCTGTGTGATATAACTAAGCTAGTGTTGATATCATGGTAGAAAAACCCACTATGGAAAAACTAGATTTATGAGACTACGGCTTCGAAATCCACCTGGGTTCCATTTTCAGGTCTGAAGAGGAAAGGGAGAGGAGGGGTGTAAAAGAGAGGAGAGCCAACGCGGTAACACGGAGCAGGTGAGGACAGACGAACGGAGATTATCGGCAGGAGAAAAGCCGCTGTTCAGGTTGAAATTAGCCAGCAGCTTTATTAAGGAGGATTCCACCAGTCTGCGGGCGTGGGCATCAGCGGAACCAGTCCATCTGATGACTTGTGCCCCACTGATGGCAAAAGAGGGCGTTATTGTTGTATCCCCTGGATACTTATGCTGAGACAGATGCTTAGTGAGACTGGACCTGTCTCGCCAAAGTATTCCTAATCACAGGAGGCACAAGGAACAGCATAGGTGCCCACTTTCGAGGTAGAGAGAAGAATGGTGTGGACCAGGTTGCGACGGAGATTGTTCACCTGGCGAAAGACCTGCCTGCAGTTGAGAGGGTGAAGAGGGCAACGGAGAGAGTAGATCTCCTCAATGTAGGGCAGGCTGAGGACGGGCAGATGAGGAGTCTCTTTAGGAGAGGAGTCGTGGTAGAAGGTACACCGTGCCCTGGATAACGCGACATCGAGAACATGACGAGGGCAGCCCAGTTTCGAGAACGGACGACGCAGGAAGTCGATGTCTCCATCCAAGTACAAGGGTCACAGATGTGGGAGACGCGGAGGAATACCGAGGTGGCGTCACCTCTCTTGACATGGAGAGGATGGTATAAGATGAAGTGTATGTACATACCACTATGCATAGGCTCCCTGCATATGGAGGAGAAATGGTCGGATGGGAGATGTGACTAGGATGTCAATCTCCCATTCCACCTTGAAACGGATGGAAGGAGAGAGAGTTCAGCTGCATCAGGAAATCCGAGAACAGGGCAAGGTCATAAGGCCAGAGAGCAAAGACGTCGTCGACATACCTCAGCCAAACCGACGGACGAAGGGAGAAACTAGTGAAGAAACAGGTACTGGAGATCGGTCGCGGGTTTTACAAATTTCGAACATGGAGGTGTTTTTATTACGAGTTGCTGCATCTTATGAAACCTCATATTGAGAAGAAGGATACTCAACTGAGAAAAGCAATTCCTGCAGACCATCGCTTGCCATTATGTTCATAAAATCAGATAAAGATTTATAGTTATTTGTTTATCTCAAGAATACTAATATTTCTGTAGGAGATAATACTAATACTGGTAATTACAAACAGCAGCAACTAGTACAATGTGTAATGAAACATATGTTAAAGGAATGTTAAATCTGCTTGCACTTGACTAAAATAAGTCTCCTATTTACAGTAAAATTTATGAATTGATTATTTTCCTCTGTAAAACCACCATTGCTCCTTTTATTGTAGTGATGATGTGAGGGATGATGTTTGTTGTTGTAAAGGTAATGTTGATTTTATAAGTTCTTTTTTGTTCCCTCTGCTGTAGGAGAATGGCTCTGTATCGTTAAAGAATATAGACAAAGTTGCATTGATTTTATTATTTATTCATTTTAGTTATATTTTGAAATTTTGTGATTTTTTCTCATTGCAGTTATAAAGTTATTGTTGAAATTTTTAATATTTATCCTATTTTCATTCTAAAGTCGCCGCTAACTTTTAGTTTCCTAAATATTGTAATTTGTATTTCTTAGTTATTGGTAGTAATTTATTTTTTCCTCTTAGATTGTTTTTGTTACATTTGTAAGTCTGATCGTCGGTAAATAAAAGAAGAGGAAATTTTTTTTCTTAAATACATGCATCGTTCTCTGATATTCATCTCAGCTGCTGAAACTGCCAAGGATTTGAATAAGGCTGCCTCAGGGTAGGTTCTTGCGCCTTCCCATAATCTGTAACCATCAAGCCACCGCTTCGCATGGCCCCTTTAATACCTAGTAGCCACGCCCCAAAATCTGCTGCTGGGTGACCTGGCTCACTCGACGCATGCGCGAGGGGGTATTTGCCTGGCGGGGACCGGGGTTGTTCGCCTTCTTCCGTCGGGGTTGCAGGCGACTCGAGCTCGAGACCTGATGACTTCACCGCCGTCACCTCCCCTCCCCTCACCGCCTTCATCCTTTGGGACTGCGGGCCTTGGGGTCCTTCTGCCTCTGGCCGCCGGTCCGCGCCTCCGTGCACATGTGGGTATATGGCGTTACCTATGTAACTGCGGATCATCAGGGACGTCCTTAAGTCTTCGCAAACCATCATTCGTCAACAGTGCGTCTTCCCGGGATAGAGGGTAGTAAGAGAAAGAGAAAGAGGAGGGAAAATTGGAGAGAGAGAGAGAGAGAGAGAGAGAGAGAGAGAGAGAGAGAGAGAGAGAGAGAGAGAGAGAGAGAGAGAGAGAGAGAGAGAGGAAGAGAGAGACAGGGACAGAGAGTGATTGACAGACAAAGAAAGTGACAGACAGAGAGGTAAACAGACACACATAAAAACAGAGACAGAGACAGAGAGAGGGAGTGAGAGAGAGTGCGAGGTAATGCGACTGACAAACAGACAAACCAATAGAGAAAGAGAGAGAGATGAGACCAGTGACACATGCGCACGCCCACACATCGTTCTACTCGTATAAATACAGGGTTTGTATATGGAAGAGGCCCTGTCTACTTATGTGTGTATCTAAAATATGTGAAAGCCATATATACAATATTTATAAAGGTAATATCTGGAATATTCCCCAGTTGACGGAACTTTCCGTTGCCTATCGTTATGGTCCTGTGTGCGAGAAGTAAAATCTGGATTCGGCATTCTAGGGAGTATAAGTAAAAAGTTATTATAGAAGAACTAATTAGCAAGCATAAATCTGTGATGTATAATAACTTCGAATAGGGACGCTAGGTCAGTGACAATGCTAATTGGTGTTTAATGCGGCTAGAGAAGTAAATACGGCTTTGGGAAGATACGTACTTTTCATGAGGACTAAAAGGTGAGTCACTGGGGACGTAAATATTATTGAGATCGTCTATCAAGGATATCCTATAACAACGCATATTTTGGCAGACATATTAGGTCATTGCTGGCTAAGATTTTATAATGCCTTACAAAATCCTGGAAAGAAAATCTGAGCATACTCAAAAGCTTGAGTATGACGTATTGTACCAGTAGAGGAAAATAGGTGTGGAGATTTACATTTGCAGTAGTATTGGAAATAGTATACATACAGTGTTAGTCACATGAATACTTAACAAGAAAATCAGAAAATCAATTGACAGGATATATATAAAGCCACATAAAAGTAACGAACGTCTTGGAATCTTCCGTCAGTATCGCTCTCAGCACGGATGGATCTTTCCGTCCAGTAACTATCAGCTGGCAGCTCATTCACACTTCTCTCCATGATCGTGCCTACAAAAAGTTATAATGGCTTTACACCCAACGACAGAAATACTACGTTTTCACCGCTTGATATCGTGTAAAGACTTCAATAAGGCAGTTCAATGGTGAACTTCTTATTACTTCCGCCGAAAAATCATCGTTAATTCCAATTCATGGCTCTTGGGCCTATAAACAATCGGTTAACTTGCTTATGATTCATGAACATGTTGCTAATAGAATCTTTAGCACATCGTATATGTTTAATAATGTAATGATGCATATTTGTCTACCTTTTATTTCTCGTGTCTAGTAATAACTGAGTTTTTCTTGTTACCGAATGAGTCTACTCCATTCATAAATCGTGTTTAGTATTATTTACTCTGAGATAGTATACTTCATCAGAAATATTAACATATTCCTTTTTACTGTCATTATCATAGTATTTTTTTTTTTTATCCCACTATTAGAAAAATATTTTTCTGTACACTCCTTCGAACGAGACATTAGCCATGACGATAATGATCCTTAGTGACCAGCCTGATGATTTCTCCGTCATCCACTTCCCTCCCCTGAGGCCTGTTCTTGCTTCTTGGTTTCCAAACAGTAAGAAGTACTTCACAGATAACACGGACAACTGCTTTTAAGGAATTAGAGTATTCATAATTTAGTTTGATGGTAAAAAAAAGGATTTAAAACGATTTTGAAGTTTGGTCATGCTATCTGCTGTATCACGTTTATATCAGTTGCTCAATCCACCTCGCTTTTTCTCCTTTTCTTTTTGAGGCCGCCCCCCCCCCCTATTCTTTGGTCACCCGCTACCTGTGCTCTATCGTCAGTGGAGAACTATTTAAAGTAAAAAGAAACCTAGTGATATAAATCTATCTGCAGTGTTTATTACCTTTAAAAATGATAGATTAAAGTAAGGATTAGACGAATGTGTATGTGTGTGAGTTTTTGTGTGCGTGCGTGTGTGTGTGAATGTGTATGTGTGTGTGTGTTTTTGTGTGCGTGCGTGTGTGTGTGAATGTGTGTGTGTATGTGGCCGGGTATATGATTCCTAGAGCCCCCTTCAAGGTTCCAAATCACAATGCAGATACACAGGAGCTTCTGCCACTTTGCCCTGCCTCGATTCAGGGTCCCCCGTGATGTGGCGTGGAATTAGCAAGCGCCAAAACGATACCATTGATCGTCTTGCGCCGCGGACGTTCGCAAGAGTTACTAGTAAAGCACTATACTAAAGGCACTTGTACCTCATTAGGTACGCTTGTACCTAATGAGGTCTGATGGTGAGGGATCTCTGTTCCATCTTGTATATCTGCTTGGTCCGGCTTGCTTTTCCTGATAACTCCTTATCAGGGGTGTCATTACAGCCTTTTCTTGAGGGGGGGGGGGGGGTCAGGGGTGACAGGCAAGCGATTTTTGTGATTTTTAAATAATAAGCCCATAAGCAGGGCTATAGACAAAATAATTTGAAAGAAATATATCCCATTGCCCCCCACAACAAATGCCCTTGCTGCATATTCTGCATCAATAGGCATTTATACAGTACAGCATTGTACAAAAAAAAAGCACATGCGATATTTCATCTGTTTTTATACCCCACAATAACTCTACTTCATATCATTAGAGAGAGATAGACAGAGACAGTAGTTGAGCCTGAGATGGAGATGGAGAGATAGAAAGGGGGGGGGGGGAAGAGACAGACAGACAGACAAACTGACAGGGAAACAGGGGGATAGAGACAGAGATGGAGAGGGAGAGGGAGGTGGGGTGGGAGATGGAGACGGACGGAAGGAGAGAGGGAGAGGGAGAGAGTGGGAGAGAGTGGGAGAAAGAGAGAGAGAGACAGAGACAGAGACAGAGACAGAGACAGAGACAGAGACAGAGACAGAGACAGAGACAGAGATAGAGATAGAGATAGAGATAGAGATAGAGATAGAGATAGAGATAGAGATAGAGATAGAGATAGAGATAGAGATAGAGATAGAGATAGAGATAGAGATAGAGATAGAGATATAGAGATAGAGATAGAGATAGAGATAGAGATAGAGATAGAGATAGTGAGAGTGAGAGTGAGAGAGAAAGAGAGAAACAGAGAAACAGAGAAAAAGAGACAATAAGAGATCTTTATGACATAGGCAATGACAAAATTCGAAGAGGATTTAGTACAGAATGTATTTGCCAATAATGAAACTGAAATCATAAGGCTCTCTGTTTATATCCCACAATTAGATAACAGAAAGAAAGAAAGAAAGAAAGAAAGAAAGAGAGTACTTTTGCTGGTGTATGTGAGATATTACAATTACAATGAATATTACACAAATGGTGAAAAACATGCTCTAGATATGTATGCATTGGTTGGGAATCTTTTAATAAAACATTATTCTCTAAAACTGCTTTTTATTTACTTTCTGCATTGAGTTTTTTTCTCCCTTTATATTGTTCATCTTACAAAAGCAGATCACTGAGAGTTGAAAATGCACAAATAGTTCAAAATACATTTAAATTAATTTTTCTTTTTAATTAATAAGTATAAGAAAAGACATAATACATATGAAGACTACTCAAGCTTTATAACACTTGTAATTTAATATTTGATCTTTTTTAACTGTAAAATAATAAATAAAAATTAAAGGTGCAGACCAGTCCTATTTTAATTTTGCCAAGAGCTTTTTTCTTTAATATCCTTTAATAATTATCAACAAAGGACTTCGGAAATTGCTCTTGAAGGACACCCAACCACTGAACCCAATGTGAATTCCAGAAAAATGTGGGAAGCTTTAATGAAGATAATTCATTGACTGACAGATGCTGCTATTACCTGATGCTAAATCAACTGACATCTTATCAGATCTACTTAACTTTATGGACAAAACTGTTTTTTGTCTTAGGTGAGTTACTGAGGTGCAGGATGAATAAATGAATGAAAGAAAGAAAGAAAGGGATGTAGAATGACCAGAGGAAGAGAGAGAATTAATGAACGAGAAGAAGAAAAAAAGTCAAAGAAGTGTGATAAAGAGAATGTATGAATTAATAAATTAATAGAAAAAGACAGATATAGAGACGGTGAATTAATGAAAAAAAGAAAGACAGAACGTTGCTGAAAGCTGCTTGGAAGAGGAGTAAGAGACAGACCTTAAGAGATGCAGTGCTTCCGTGACACTAACAAGGCTTCTCACACTTCCTGGATTTCATCAAAACTATGGACATTATTAATTTAATTTGGCAATTAAATTAATGCTATGACACACTATGACAAAAAATAAGAACAGTTTCTCAGGTCTGACCTTTAACATCACTTAGAGCCACAAAGTAAATACATAAATTTAGTTACACAAATTTATATACATCATTACAAATGATCTATAAATGTTAAAGACTTAAAATATTCTATATACAGTAAGTCCCCAATTTAAGAACATAATGGGGACCGAGAGGCTGTTTGTAAGTTGATTTGTTTGTATGTCGAAAGTCAGGTCTCCATTACCTTTTTTCCCAATGTTTTAAAGTTTTGTTTACATTATGAATACCTGTAAATAAATCCCAATAAGTCCAACATACCTTATACAGTACCAGACTCTTGAACTATATTCGTGCCCGGGAAATTTGAAGTTTGCTAGCATCTTTCAAACAATTTTTTGGACTTTAGTGCTTAAAAAATGTTGTTTGTATGTATGGAATGTTCATAAGTAGAATGTTCTTAAGTAGGGGACTATCTGTATGTATTTTTTTTTTTTTTTTTTTTTTTTAAATAATGAAAACTGAAACAAATCAAATTTAGTACTAAGTCACACAAGCCCTGAAGAAAAATGAAAGTGGTGTATCCATTTCATAAACAAAATCCTACACTACACTAACAATTACAGGTACTTATTGATTGCTAGACATATTAGAAATTCAGATGTACGAGAATCCACAAACAGAACTATCATATCTAAACTAAAAACAATATCATACACAAAAAAAAATCTTCTGATTTGATTTATAAATGTCAATGTCAGCAACCTAAAGAAACTACTTTGCAATATTCATAATGTAAAAATAGTTCTGATTTTAAATAGAAATCTGTAAATGCATACATTCACAATACCAGCTGAATCACAACTATCTTCCTACTTAATTCCTTCATTTATTTAGGATGGAGGACTTGAAATTTTTATTAATGCTACCCATAAATGTAAAGGATTGATTCTACACTTAAAAACTGATGAAACAAGTCTTAGTTACTTGGACATTAATATTTCAATATTTATAATGCACATAGACCTATATGAGTACCTTTATTTATGGAGGCTCACCTTATCATAATCTTACTAGGAACATTTAGTAACATCAGAGGATTCTTGTAAACAATTTTAAAAAAAGTCAATCTTAAATCATGAATACTTTTTTTTTCTGCATAATGAACACATTTTACTGCTCTTCATTTACTTAAATGTGAAACTTACATTTATGAAAGTGATGCTTAGAATATACACTAAATAATTGCCTATTTAATTTCAAATATATTCAAAAGTCATTTATTAATGCAATATTATTCATATCACTCAGTAAACCAGAACACTGAACAACCTTTTAAAACTTTTCTTTACAAAACCCTCTACAAATATAAACATTAATATGAATGATGTTAGTACGAACAAGTACTTATTTAAAAAACTAATCACTAATCATCTTTACTTCTTTAGAGTATACTAAAAACAGCCGTTTACAGGAAATAAGTCAAGGTTCAAAAATATCTTCCACTTTTATTCTTACTTGTACATTAAAGAAATTATGTTCGCTAATTCTTGACCAAGCAAGAACTACAAAATCACTCATAATTTAAATAACACTAAGTTGACAGAGAACTTAAAAACACTAAACATGAAATAAAACTGCAGAAAAATGCACAGTTTAATTGTACATCAAAAAGTTTAAAACAAACTTTCACTTCCAACGGCAAGAGACATTAATATAACAAACAATATTTCATATAAACAGGTAACTGAAACAATTAGAGTATATTTGTACATATGATGAGTACAAACTGTAACATACTAAATCACAGACAATATGAGAACATGATAAATGTATTTTATCTCTCAAAATAAAATAGTTTCTGCACAACAATCATGAACATAAACAATAATGAACATTAAAATACCTGAAGGGTGTTCTTTACTGGACACACTATTTTCATTAAAATGCTGACACAATTAAGTACCATATATTAAGGAAGAATGTATTATACAAGACCTGCATCTTTGGCCATTGAATAGAATATTGATTTCTTGTCTTTTAACAGGCTTTCTGGGGAGTCAAACTCTCGGATCTCTCCTTTGTCTAGGACCAAAACTCTGAAACGTAACAAAATACAAAGATAACAATACATCTTCAAATTCATTCATATATCTTATCTAAAAAAAATATGATCCTCCTATAGTAGGTAAAAAACTTATCAACATTAAATCAAATATAAAATGAAACAACCTAGATATAAAAAATTACGAAATATACATAAAAACGGACATGTTCATCAATAAATTCAGACAAAACAATCCCAAACCTTGACTTACCTAGAGGAGTCCATGATAGTGTTCAGCCTATGAGCAATAGTGATCACAGTGCAATCAGCAAACTCCCGCCGGATAGTCTGCTGGATGAGGTCGTCTGTCTCCAAATCAACAGCTGCCGTGGCCTCGTCTAAGACCAGCACCCTCGTTTTGCGGAGGAGAGCTCGGGCCAGACATACAAGCTGCCTCTGGCCAACACTGTAAGGGAATGAGAGAGGTGGTCAAAAGGGTTGATGTGAAGTAAGAAAAATATTGTGGGAAGGGACTCTCACAATTTCTAAAGAGGAATGAAAAGAAGAGGAGAAAGTATTGAGAAGAAGCATGAAGGGAGAAAGGATAAAATGACGAAAAAGAACAATAAATATGAAATTGAAAAGCAAATACAAAAATCCAATAAATATATAAAAAAGAAATGGGATAAGACAACAAAGATGAAGCACAAGGAACAGGAAGAACTTGAATAAAAAGAAGAAGAAATACAAACAGAAGAACCACTCACCTGAGGTTTTCACCCCCTTCAGACACTTCATGCTGAAGTCCAGCACCGAGGCCTGAAACAAAGCTCTTGAGGTGAGAATGTTCCAGGGCTGACCAGATCTTCTCATCGTCATATAAATTGAAGGGATCCAAGTTCATGCGAAGTGTACCACTAAACAGCACAGGGTCCTGAATGGAAAGAAAATTTAAAAAAAAAAATTTACATTTACATTGGGTAATATTCCACATGGTATTATGATGGTGGTGGTGTGTGATGATGGTGGTGGTATTTGGTGGTGGTGATATATGCTGATGGTATGGCGCCAGTGGTTGGTGGTATGGTAGTGGAACAGTGGTGATGGTATTGTGGTGATGATGGTGGTAGAATAGTGGTATAGACGAGGGTGACAACAAAGTCAACAGCAATGATGATAACAATGGTGATATCAAAAGAAAAGGGGGTAAAGAACTTCATACCTGTGGGATGATTGTCAATCTTCTTCTTACATCATGCAGACCAATTTTGGAAATGTCAACATCGTCAATTGTGATGTCGCCACCAGCAGCTTCAATAATTCGGAAAAGAGCCAATGTGAGTGAAGACTTCCCAGCACCAGTTCGACCAACAATACCAATCTGTAAAATTGCCAAGTAGTTATTTGCCAGATATCTAAACAAAAATAAATAAAGTTTTGGACAATACCAAAGGCATCAATACAGCCAACCAAAGAAAAATCTAACCTGGTAGAAAGTACATTACTTTGTCCATTTGGTCTCTTTTTTTTTCTACTTGAGTTTAAGGACACTTTTCTTTTTAATCATTGTCAACCAAATGTTATTCTTTAAAAGCTAATTCCATCTAACAACAATATAATGAAGATATGAAATTGCAACTGATGTTGGAGGAAAAACTCAATATATCTGAAACAAGTAGAAAAGATTATTCCTAAAGCAAATCTTTCATTGTGAAATAAATTATCTATAGCAAGATCACAATAAAATAAAAGGGTTTCCTATTCATATTTCTTTTGTTGGAAGGTCCTTCACTCACTGGCACTGGATATTGAAGCTTTTTCTCAAATTTACACACACACATAACTGGCTCCAAAAATTGCATGGCAGCAACAATTCATGGACAAATATAGTCAAGACTATTCAATACAGTAATTTTAATTGCTGATTAAATTAATCAAGTACTAAAGACTAAATTAATCATGCGGTACCAAATAGTAAAATTTGTCAAATAATTTAGAAATTAGAAATGATCCTCAGCTCAGATCATTACCTATATCAAAAATAAAAACATCTTACCTTCTCTCCTCCAGATATTTCGCAATCGATATTTTTCACAACTAAATCGAGACCTTCTCGGTATCTGGTGGAATATTTATTGAACTTGACCACCCCTCGCTCTGGCCAGTCCTGAAACAAGAATATTATATTTTCACTTCTATTCCACAAAGCAATAGGAATCCTTGAATGAGAAACACATCACTATTTCAATATCTAAGATAAACAAGTAAAAAATCATGTTTTGTACAATATAGTATGCTGTATGTCTTTTGATTCATCAATCTAAAGCCAGCTATCTGAATGAAAATGGTGATTTACAGGTGTAAATTTGCATAATTACTGAAAACATTCAGCTGTACAAAGTCTACACACTGTTTTTATAATAAAAAGACACACACACGCACGCATGCACACCAAACTCTTTACATTTTCAAATCAACTTCATGGTAAACTGAGGTATACTAAACTAATAGTGTACTCACTTTCTGTGGCTTTTTCGCAGGAATTTCCCATTCTGCTTCTTGGGTGGTTTCAGTGTATTCTTTGATACGTTCTACAGCCACAATATTCGTCTCTACATCTGACGTCATTCTTACTAACCAGTTCAGGGTTTGTGTTACCTATGTTGCGAATAAAAGAATTTGGGATTAATTAATTAGTTATCTGTGTTTGATAGATAATTCAGATTTCCTCTAAAAACTTAATGGTTATTAATAAAATCAAAATACATCTCATATATACATCAAAAATTCCTACTTATTGCACTTGGGTCTTTTGCTATGAGAGAGTGCAAACGATCTTACAGAAAGAGAATTCCACTTACAGACAATGCGTAGCTGACTGAGAGACCAACGAGTCCACCAGTTATGGTATCTCGGCCAAGCACGGCAAACAGCGCAGCAAAGAAGGTCAGGATGTTACCAATGAATTCGAGACGAATTGCCAACCATCTGCAAGATATGATCACATATATATGACACACGCATAAAATGATCAGGGAGTCCTAAATGACAACAATGTAATTCATGAACTGTATATGCAGCTACTGGATATTCACTTTAAGAGGACTGTCCAGAAAAGGGGAGGGGGGGGTTCAACTGATATATTGAAACCTGAAAATTTGATTTTATTTACACAAGATGCAAGGAATAGTAGATATTTTGATAAATAATATTAGTATGTTTCATGAAACATAGATTTTAAAAATAATTAAAAAGTCTCCAAACTCCTCAGATACCAAACTGTTACTCAATGGGCCAAAGCCATACACAGACCAGACCAGTAGTGTGATCTGATAATGGTTTGTTTTACTTGAGACAACTATTTAATACTTCAGAACAGTCCTTTTCTAATTTTTGACTTTTTTATGACTTTTTAGTATTTTTTCCCCTATTGACACTATTATACTACTACAAGGAACTTTCAAATTAGATTATCAGTGTGGTCTGTGGGAAAGTCACATTGCCTACCTGAAGTTAAACCTTAATTTCTTTAAATTTTGGCAGGGGCACAGCCTCCCTCAGGAAAGTTAGTAAAAGCATCACAGCTCAAAAGATATACATTTGTGTACTCTATGAAGCATCAAAAGAGTTCCTGTGATATCTCCTGTGGTTACTTTTGTGTATGCCTGTATCTAAAACTTTTATAATCTGATTTTTCCACTTCTTGCCACAGTCCCCTTAAAACATGTTTAACCCCTTGGCAACAAGCCTTTGTGATTTCAATGATCTTCCCCAACAGAATGAGAGTATTCCATTGATAAAGGCTGGAAAAGGTTGAGAGCACCCAGACATATTTAAAGGGTAGCCAGCATTAAGGAGTTACCTATCTAAACTACAACTTGCAAAAAAAAATTACTGTCAAGCATTGGGAATTCTATAAATCATTTCTCAAATCCTACCATCTTATTGCAAACATCCAATTATCTATCTATTAACCCTTACCCTTTCCTGTAAAAGCACATAATGCTAATCACAAATAAACACCCAGAACACCTTAAATATAAGCACTTAGGAGCACCCTCTTGACAAACTGAGCCTTCACTGCACTACATACCGGTTAGCCATGACACTCGGGAAGGAGCTGATTTGATTTGTGTCAACTTTCTTCTCAGATTCCAGCATAAACTGGTGAGATCTGCCAAAGGCGCGGATTGTGCTGGCACCTGTAAATTCCACCAAGGTTTGTAATCAACCATTACAACATTAGACATGTAGTAGGTTCCATGCAAGAAATTCACATCTTGAAACTTTCAGTCACAATTAAAACAGTAAATATAAAAACAAATAAAAATATTTCTACTCCTCAGTAAGACTTATAAATATTCCTATTCCTCCTCTATATTCCAGGCCCATACTCAACTGCAACATAAGCCTACCTTGTATAGTCTCTTGGAAGTGCGAGTAAATCGGAGAACGAGACACTGACTCAATACGTTTCAGCTGTCTTGAGGTTGACACGTAAAGTCCCTGAAAAGTTAATCTTGATAATTATGGGTTTACAAAGAAGTGGAACTGATGAGATATAAGAAAAAAAAAATCATTGTAAATTCAATGCAAATATCTTGACAGAGAGAGAGAGCAAGAAGTCAAAAGAGAAACATTGTGCCAAAAAAAGAAAAAAGAAAAAGAAAATAAAAGAGATATGACATGTACAATTATAATGAGAAAAATCATTGTAAATTCAATGCAAATATCTTGACAGAGAGAGAGAGCAAGAAGTCAAAAGAGAAACATTGTGCCAAAAAAAGAAAAAAGAAAAAGAAAATAAAAGAGATATGACATGTACAATTATAATGAGAAAGAAACAGACTGCAAACACAGAATGAGAAGCATAGAATAACAAGAAAAACAAATAAAAATATTTTACTCCCAGTATAAGACTTATAAATATTCCTCTTACTCCTCTATATTCCAGGCCCATACTCAACTGCAACATAAGCCTACCTTGTATAGTCTCTTGGAAGTGCGAGTAAATCGGAGAACGAGACACTGACTCAATACGTTTCAGCTGTCTTGAGGTTGACACGTAAAGTCCCTGAAAAGTTAATCTTGATAATTATGGGTTTACAAAGAAGTGGAACTGATGAGATATAAGAAAAAAAAAATCATTGTAAATTCAATGCAAATATCTTGACAGAGAGAGAGAGCAAGAAGTCAAAAGAGAAAACAGACTGCAAACACAGAATGAGAAGCATAGAATAACAAGAAAAACAAAATAGGAAAGAAAAGCAAAATGAGGAACAGAGACTGAATGAGAGTAAAATGTATAGAGAAAAAAAAAATAACAAATGGAAATAACAAGGAGACAAAACAGAATGAAAGAAATACAGTATGAGAGAGAAGTAGACTGAGTGAGAAACAGAATAAGTGAAACAAAAAAAAAAAAAAACAGAGAAACAGAATGAGAAAGAGAAACACATGATAATCCTTTCATCCTTACCTGCACAAAGTAGTATATAATCATAGTTGGCAGCATAACCACAGCAAACACTGGAGTTGCATAAATGATGGCCACAAAGGTTGCAATCACCTGAAATACATAATTATATTACATAATCATGCTGACTGTGGAGTTTCACGTTCATATATTTGGTTCTTGTTGGAAGGAAGCCAAATTCTACTAAAAAATTTACATATATGGTCAGTCTAAGTTAGCATGCTTCTCAACTCTATTAGCAAATTACTCTAATATTAGGTTTAACATCATGTTTATCAAAGTAATCGTATAAAAGCAAACAGCAAGCCAAATGTACAAGCAATAAAGTTTATACACACAAGCACACACAAAAGCAAAAATGAGAAAAAAATAAAATAAAGCAAAGGCTCAATTCCTGCATCCAAGAGATAATGGTAGGCAATGTAGACATGAATTTGAAAAAAAAGAAAAAGAAGAAAAGAAAAGAAAAAAAAAAAAAATTGCACTGTGCAGCTCCCAAAATGCATAGAGTGAAGATAATTGAACTGATTAATTGATAAAAGTCCATTTATACATAATGTGAAAAATTATATATGATGACAAATGTTACACTGTATTCACTTTAACATCAAATTTTTTAAGTCAATTAAGGTTCAATTTGTGATGTTTTACAATAACAGATCTATGTCCTTTCTGTAAAACATTGACAAATAATGATACATAACCCTTTAAAAAAATTTGCGAACCAAAACATTTAAACAATAATAAAACAGGCATTATGTATAAACTTGACTTATCTTTTCTATTTACTGAAGAATAAAAAGAGATTCAGTCCTTTTCCATTTTTTTCCGTTGTTAAAAATCTCAACATAGAAAAAAAACAAAAAAAAAACACATACAATCAAAAGATGTTAGAATTCTCTTAGGAGGATCCAAGAGAGGTAATCCACATGCTCTGCTTGGGGATCCTTACATACCTGAAACAGGCACATGAGCCAGGATCGTATGCTCCAAGGCAAAATATTGTCCATTGTGTCAACATCCTTGCCAAATCGATTAATCATGCGCCCTACTGGGTTTGTATCAAAGAAGGACATTGGCAGACGCAGGACATTCTTCAAAATATTTGTGTGTAGTCCTTCTGCTGCATCAAGAGCACCGAATGACAAGGAAAATGCTCCACCCAAGATGAACAATGCTGAAGTACAAATATGCAGGGGAATGTAAAGCATGTTACAAAATCAGAGAAAACAAAAGAAATGAAAGACACACCTGCAGATATATTACCAGGCAAAAATCACAATCAACATAAAAGTAAAAATCAAATAATCAGGCCACCCAAACAGAAACTACTTTAAAACCTGCATGTTTTAAGGATCCAAGCCTTCAATGCACACATGTAATTACTTACCCTTGCCTCTCCTAATATCAGTCAATTATTTCTTTAGCTGAATGTGTGTAATCTTTCTCACTGCTTTTTCATTTCATTCTTTAACCCAGTGCAATCTAGCATGGCATGTAAATACACGCTATGCCCATTGTAAATTTAGTTTCTTAATCATCTTTACACAGATGGCTCCACAAGCACTTAGTTCACTTAAGAGTCACTTACTAGTACTACTCATCTCATTTGTTTACCCTTTTCCTTTACTCTCAGAAATATTCTCTTTTCATCTTATATTGCTATTAGTAATGTTAATAACATTATAATAATAATAATATCTACAACAATAATAATAGCATTAATAAAAGAAAAAGAAAAAAAATCCAAAAGTTCAAGGAAAGGCGAGGTCATGTGGTCTACTAATTGTTTCCTTGGTGGTTGAGCATTTGTGGAACCATCTATGTACAGAGACTTTTCACAAAACAAAACTGCATTGAACATCATATTTTCTTGGTGGCATTGGGTTAATAAGAATACTGTCTTAGATCTCAAATGCAGTTAATTATAGTTAAATTACCTGACTTTGTTTTTGAGTGACAGCTACTCTAAACCTATTAAGATAAAATTTTGTAAAATCTTTTAAGTATTATTACAAAGAAGGAACAGCAGAATTTAGTCTCCATATATTGATATAAAAAATCTGCAACATAACTTTATACAGACAATTTCTAAATACCTCACTCCATATGAAAGAAAAAATCATAACAGTTACACAATGATTATGCACCACAAAAATCCATCCAAAACTAACCCATAACAAATAAAGTCTCAATCAGGTACTATTCTCTAAACACAAAGTTTAAAAGCCAAACAGACAAAAAGACAACACATTTTTCCACTAGATTTCCCTCCGGTGACCAACTATCCAAACTCCATATAACACAACAGATTTCACAATAATATATCCAGAAAGACAACTTCAAATTCAAGCTACTCAAGAGTCCCACGCTCCCAAATATTTTTGTGATACTCCTTACCGCTATCAGGCATGAAACCCAGGCTCTCAGATTACTAGGTAGAAGTACATCTATTGTGTCCAAGTCTTTTGAGAAACGGTTAACAATACGACCGATGGGAGTCATGTCAAAGAACATCATAGGGCTGTGCATAACATTATCAAGCAACCTCTTGTGCATCAGCTTTGATGCCGCAACAGTTGCACCAGCAATTAAAACTGATCCAACGCATATGAAAATCGCTGTGAATTGGAAAAATAAGTAAGTCAAAATAATAACAAATAGTATTTGCTCAGAAATTATACTTTTAAAGCTTCATTAATCATCACAATAATATAATAATACATGTCATTTCAGAATATTACTTATTGATTACTTTACTTTACTAATTATATCTAAAAATAATTCAATACTGTGAAAATGTATATATCCTCATCTGCATTATATGCTACTATCATAAATATCTAATTGTAGCTATATATCACATAATGAAGTTAGGAATTTCAAGTTGGCATATTTTACTAATCACAATCTCTGTTCCAGATTCAGTTATTCTACCTTTTTCTAAGGCACACATGAAAACATTACTGAGCCAATGATTACCTTTACATCATATCCATAGAATAATAGCTGATGCATATACTATTCCTTATTTTGCACCTTCTCGTCAACTTCCTTTATAAATATTTCATTACCTTGAAGCCTCTAGTTCTCCAAATATTTGAAACTCTTAGATTTACAATAAGCTTAGCTATACCTTAAGAAATACACAGCAAGCAAGCTTTATATAAAGCTATTTGATGCCTCTTTATAAAAGGAAAATATTTTTCAGCTAAAAGGAAACTGGCTGGAGCATTGGACATTTCATGCTATCCCTGAACATATAACAAAGTCAAAATTTATGTAGTTTCAAAATGATTTACCTTCAATTTCATTAACCTTGAAACATCAACTGCCACATTTCATTATGTGGATTCTTTTTCTTAATATGTTTTTAAAATTCTAAACAACTATCATGTTTCAGCTGTGTGTACATAATATTTTCAAGTGGCTCACATCCTTGCAACCCTCCATTTGCAATAGCAACAACTACAAATCTCACATGCATAAAAAACTTGGGCCTTAATGAATAACAATATGCTAAATTGTGTTAACAGCATATGTCCATCTTTACTGAACAAAATAGTTAAATGACATATAATTATAGTAAACCCACTCAATGGAATTTTCTGGCATGATACTGGGTCATATACACACAGTCAACTGCTCTTACAAAAAATGGGCAAAGCAGAAAACACATTTACCCAATTCTCTTTGCCATTGACTGTAGCATAAATACCTGTTTAGGTAAGGAGGCTAAAAACAGGCTATAGGCTAAGTTTTCATTGGCTATTCCCCCTTACTGACTGTAGCCAGGGCTAAAAAAACAGTAATCATTTAGCATGCACACCTTTGAGCAGGCTCAAACACACATGATGTGATAGGATGTCACCTTGGTGTGAGTGACATTTTAGCCACAATGTGATAGGATATACTCTGTCATGAGTGGATCAAACTGATGCATTGAAGTTCAAGTTGTTTTACTCACAGATATTCTATATTTCCCCTACCTCATATCAATGGCAGCATGAGCCCTCTGACAATAACATACTTCTAACAGATTAATAGTTAACTGTAGCTATGAGGAGGAAGGTTTCATTCCAATGCATGCAAACACTCTTACAGTCTAAAGAACGTATGCCTAAAATCAATGATAAAAAAATTCTTACCTTGCCCAACCCCAAGAGCGCCGTAAACACCTAAGTATTTGTCTCTCACAGCCGGATCCTGACCCGTCTCGTTCTGGAGTGCCGATTCAGACGACCACGCTGTAAGCCACACATTTGAGCCTACTGTGCATGCTTGGGAGAGGATATAAAACAATACAGTCAAGCAGGTTGACATGATGCCGATGGCCCTGACGTAGTATCCATACACAGATAGCTGAACCTGGAGACAGAAATGAGGAGGAGATATGTTAACCCAATGTTACCGGGATTTTATATTTATATATATATATATATATATATATATATATATATATATATATATATATATATATATATATATATATATATATATATATATATGTATATATATATATATATATATATATATATATATATATATATATATATATATATATATATATATATATATATATATATATATATGTATGTATATATATGTATATATATGTATATATATGTATATATATGTATATATATGTATATATATGTATATATATGTATATATATGTATATATATGTATGCATGTATATGTATATGTATGCATATATATGTATATGTATGTATATATATGTATATATATGTATATATATGTATATATATGTATATATATGTATATATATGTATATATATGTATATATATGTATATATATGTATATATGTGTGTGTATATATATATTATATATATATATATATATATATATATATATATATATATATATATATATATACGTATATATATATATACGTATATATATATATACGTATATATATATATACGTATATATATATATACGTATATATATATATATATACGTATATATATATATATACGTATATATATATATATACATATATATATATATATATATATACGTATATATATATATATATATATATACGTATATATATATATATATACGTATATATATATATATATATATACGTATATATATATATATATATATATATACGTATATATATATATATATATATATATATATATACGTATATATATATATATATATATATACGTATATATATATATATATATATATATATATATATACGTATATATATATATATATATATATATATATATATATATATATATATATATACGTATATATATATATATATATATATATATATATATATATATATACGTATATATATATATATACGTATATATATATATATATACGTATATATATATATATATATATACGTATATATATATATACGTATATATATTTATACGTATATATATTTATACGTATATATATATGTATATATATACGTATATATATACGTATATACGTATATATATACGTATATATATACGTATATATATACGTATATATATATACGTATATATATACGTATGTATATACATGCGTGTACTTATGTATGTATATATGTATATATATACAATATATATATAATATTATATATATATATATATATATATATATATATATATATATATATATTTATGAATGTATATACATGCATGTACTTATGTATGTATATATGTATATATGTATATATGTATATATGTATATATGTATATATGTATATATGTATATATGTATATATGTATATATGTATATATGTATATATGTATATATGTATATATGTATATGTATATAATATATATATACATATACATAAGTATATATTTACATTTTGTGTGTGTGTGTGTGTGTGTTGTGTGTGTGTGTGTGTGTGTGTGTGTGTGTGTGTGTGTGTGTGTGTGTGTGTGTGTGTGTGTGTGTGTGTGTGTGTGTGTGAATATATACACAGACATATAAACACATAAATATGTATACATATATATAGACAGATATAGATATATACACATAGATACATATGCATAGGTAAATAAACTGAATAAAAAAAATCTCAAAAAGAAAGAAAAAAAATCACTAATATCAAACCATGAAACACAGGCTCCATTACCTTGCCAGTTTCTGCCTTCTCTTTCTCAATAAGCTTCTGTCCAACTTTAGCATCCAGTTTCTGAGGAGCAGCAGCAGCAGCTGGCTTGGTCTTTTCAGATTCGCTTGTCTTTTTGGTTCTGTGACGGATGCTGCCTCTGTGTTCCCCACTGTCAGGGAGAGTGTGTTTGTTAAAGCTCCTAAAATATAAAACTGAGTACAATGTAATAATGCATATCCTATTTTATATATACATATATGCAAATACTCTCATAACTGAATTCAAACCATCTATTCTAGTTAAGATGTAGTATATTTCCTGATTCACATCTTTTTCAGAAGTAGTATTTGCATACATACACTATATGTCTAGTATTAGTTAAAATACTAATAATAATCAAAGTGCTGATCAGTATAATACTGGAATGGAATGAATAATATTGGATATATTTCTGTGATACTTAGATATTCATCTTACAGTGCATCATTTCCTATGCTGTCACTCTCGCTCTCGCGCTTCGTCCGAGATATCTGCCGTTGTAAACCTTGCTTGCCAAGTGTGCTCTCCAACTGCATCTTAATGTCTTCCAATTCTGGCAAATAAGGAAATAAAAATCAAATGTATTCCTTATCACTGACAAGAAAGGTGGAATTAATCCCAATGATGTGACCATTACATCACGAAAAAATTTGGCTTGAGGGGCAGGTGATATGAACAGACTGTCATAGAAAAACATGACTATGGGCCAAGTGATGCGAACTTGCCTTTGCAAGTATTTCGGTTGTAGCATGGGGTGACAGGAAAGACTCGCCACAAGTTTACAAACCCCTTGGAGGGTGATTAGACTCATTTGGCATTTAGAAAGGGGCTTTTGCATTATTTCCATCAATAAACAAGTGTGTCCATAAACCATGACTGGGAGAGCACCAGCTCCAGGGAGGACACCATTTGTATGCTCAACATCCTATTCCTGGAGGAATTTATTACAGAAAATTGTATTACAGAAACTGAATATTATGAAAAATAACAAAATGTTACTTATTGTTTTTATTTTTGCAAAATATTATGATGCTCGCTGCAGGCCGACTTTAAAATTGAAAGAAAGTATGCACCTGACAATCACAATCAAGCAAATAAAATTTTATGTCTTTTCCTCTGTAACTCACCTTCCAGGTCTTCTTCATCTTCATTTTCTTCTGACAAATACTGCAGCAGAAATTCTTGGAATTCTCCTTTCTTTTCAATCAACTCCTTATATGAACCTTGCTCTGTGATCGTACCATTCTTGAGCACAATAATTTTCTCAACTTTTGGTAAGTATGTTAGGCCATGGGTCACCAAAATGCGAGTCTGTAAAAATTTGGAAAAAAATCATAGCATATTGAATGAAATACTCATCATCTGTAATAAAAAAAATTTGTTTTAAAAAGTACTCACAAAGGTTAATAAATAAACCACATGTATACTGTACATTTGCTGGTATGAAAGAAATCCTAAACCCCTAAATAGTGTTTTTTTTTGTGCATGATAGTTGCCTAGCTGTACAGAATTATTCAACATTTACACTCACTGTAACTATTTAACTACTAATCTTATACACAAAGTATCATTTAAAATCTAATTAATATCTCTTAAAACAATATGGTGTTGAGTTGCTTTAATTATGTGTCTTCAGTAAAAAAAATATGTAGCAAACAAATGCTTCTACCACAATCAATGAAAATTATCCAATCAATGAAATCCTGTGAGTAAGAATTAAAACCAACTGAAACATTTTTTTTTAGAAACCAAATATATATAAATGTAATCAGTACATACTTTTCCCTTCAGAACTCCCTCTGGTCCAATGACATTCTCAAAAATGTGCTTTCCAACATGGGAATCAACCGCACTAAGGGGATCATCTAGGAGGTAAATGTCTGCATCAGAATAAACTGCTCTGGCCAAGCTCACTCGCTGCTTCTGTCCACCACTCAAGTTGATACCCTGCAAATCAAAACTAATTTAATACCAACATCACAATAAGTTGCTGTATATGGTTAAGAAACTCTCCTACTCTTTCTGAAAAGAAGTGGAAGAGAATGAGGGAGGGGGAGAAGAAGATGGAGAATCAGGAACACCATAAGGAAAAGGAGGCGCAGAGCAAAAAGGCAAGAAAATGTTGGGAGGATAATTCAAAATATCTAAAATAGCACATACAAACTGATCAACAGACCTAAAATTTTATGTATTTTACACATTAAGTAAAATACAATTGATGAGTAAATTTTTCACTCAAAAGTGTCATATGTACTACTATACGAGCCTAATTTCTTGCTTAAAATTGTCCATACTTTATTAAGGTGTGAAGAGATGAATCTATGTTTTTTTATTTGTTTTCCAACAGATTAAACAAATTTAAAGCAAATACAAAGCAAGTTCTCATGCTTTGTTGCCATATGAAGCAGAAAATACCTTTTCTCCAATTTCTGTTTGATCTCCACCAGGCAACATGTCCAAGTCAGATTGCAGTGCACATGCTCGGACACAACTAGAGTATCTGTCTTCATCCTTCTTGTTGTTGAATAAGATGTTGTCTTCTAAAGTCGCATTCTGGATCCAAGCTTGTTGAGCGACGTAGGCAATGTTTCCCTGGGGAGAAAAAAATGAACAAAAGAATGAGAATATGTTCAGCAATGATAATCTTTGCATTTTGTAGTTAAAATTTTCTCTTTGTTATTAACCCCTTCTTTACCAAGTTACTATCCTTAAGTCAAGACAAAGAGTACAGGGATGGAATTCATGAGGCATTCGAATTAACCCAATGGTGCCGGGGAAAATGAACAAAAAATGGGGAAAATATTGTGCCCACTTTCTATGTTTTTCGTGAAATGTCTGCCGATAGATGACTCTGCTAGCGCCTGATTTAAATGGCGGGTAAATCGTATTTTTCACTAATGCTATGAAAATCGATGGTGTTATTTTTATCATAAACATTATAATTTTTATAATTTTTTTTAACATTAGTAACAGCAAAATAAGATTACATAAAATATTTCGTAAATCAAAGAAACGGCTAAACGGGCCAGACGGGCGGTGCTCGTAACTGGCTCATTGGGGAGTTAGTACAAGTGTTGCCATCTATGCGTAAAAACAATCAAACAAGTACTCACTGTGGGCATAGCACGTACGTACACGTCATACCCGGCACCAAGGGGTTAACCTTTTTACTACAATAATATCAAAATAAAAGCTGCAAATAATGTGAAGGCGTATCATTACAGTCAGTTTCCAAATCTGTAGACCACTTACTAAACAACAAAAACCTAAATCCAAGTCTACTAATATTCCTTATTCATACATGAAATTAAAGGAAAAACAGTGGAAGAGGAAGGAAAAAAGCGACAACCCTTCCAAGCCTTACTCCTTCTACACCTCCATTCTAAAAGCTCAAAGCCTTACATTAACATTGACTCTTCCTGTCTGCTTTTCCATTTCTCCAAGAATGGCCGAGCAGAGCGATGACTTGCCAGCCCCTACACTTCCTACAACGGCAACCAGTGATCCTTCTTCAACTTCCATATCAAGGTTGTGCAATACTGGTTTGCCGTCTTCCTCATCGTGACCCCAAGCAAAGGTACCATTCTCTATGGTAATAGGCTTCTCTGTAAATAAACA